AGGCAAAACCCTAGTTATAATTCGTCCTTTGTTCTTAGCTTCTCTATTCTTTTCGTATTCGTCTCGTCAAGCTTATCGTCGAGACGAATCACCCCTTGTATCATCTTTGTCTTTGGTTGATCTAATAAAGAGTCTCTCCTAAACCTCACATCTCTTATCTTACTATTATTGTGTGATTTTGAGATCTAACAATTGGCGCCCACCGTGGGGCTGGAGAAAAAACTCTGAAAAAAGTCAATCAAGGTTCAAAGATGGCACCTCCAGCTGATGATCCCAGCATCAGAACAGGCGGACTGCAAAGTCAACTCGGCGCAGATGGAAACCCCATCGTCCATCCCGTCGAAGTCGACGCGACCAACGGTCACGTCAACCCTCCGCCGCCACCGGTTCCTGACGTAGAAGCTCCCGTCACGACCGCCGCGTTAACCGCCGCCATGCAAGGCTTTGCTGCTCAAATTGCTTCTCAATTCGCCGAGATGCAAGCTCAGCAGCAAAAGTACAACGACAAGATCGACTCCCTCCACGTCACCAGCGACGGACGAGTCATCCCGACGGGACGAACTCTCTTCCAGACGCCGACAAGAAGCACCGCCGCGACTGGCTCCAATGCCGCGACGAATGGTGAGAAAGACACCGACCCGGAAGTGGCCAAGCTGCGCCGCGACCTCGACGCAATCAGCTCCAAAGTGCACGACGCTATCAGCTCGTCACCCGAGATTGCCAAAATCCTCGCCGAGACGAAAAGAGTCCTTTCACTCGTCGCATCGCCGCGATACCTCTAAAGGATCAAACGGCTCTCCGTCTTCAGTTCTACAACAATGGTGACGATCCTCGAAACTGGCTAAGAAACTTCGAGATGGCCATGAGAAGGCAAAATATGCCTCCCCCGAAGAACAAGACGCAAATTACTGTCAAGTGTTCATCGAGCACATGAACAAAGACGCGACGAGCTGGTTTTCGAACCTTCCCTGCCGAGACCATCGACAACTTTGATGATCTCAGCACGGCATTCATGAAACACTTTGGCATGTTTATGTCAAAAGGCAGCACCAATCTTTTCACTATGGCACAGGGAAAAGATGAGTCTCTTCGCAAGTTCGTCGAGAGATTCAAAACAGCAGCAGCTGAGCACTCAGACATCCCCAATGAGATGGGAATCAAAGCTTTCGAAAACGGGCTTTGGTTCGAATCAAAGTTGAAAGAGAGTCTGATGCTCGACGAACCCGCAACCCTCCAGGACGCTTTGCACAGGTCCCAAAAATACGTCTGCGTTGAAGAAAGCAAGGCGCACCACTCAAAGATTCATGGAATGACGAAGGAGTCATCTCGGCATGCATCATCTCGTCAAGATTCATCTCATCAAGAGTCATCTCGTCAAGAGAATAAAAGGAGGCCTCTAAGGAGTCTTTACACAGGGCAGCGAAGTCCAAATGGTGCAAACTTCCATGGACGAACCGATCATACTACAGAAGAATGTAGGCGCATCAACAGCATGATACTAGAGTACGGCAATACTCCGCAAAGCCACAATGATGCTGAACGCCGCGACGAAAATCGACGAGCTGCAAACCAGCGCCAAAGTAGAAATACCGCGCCAAGATCGAGACGACGACGCCGAGAAGAACGCGCCTGCATCACTCCCTCACCAAGATGATCTGCCTCCGCCGCCGAAACGGCAAGTCCGATAAACATCTCGGCATCAAACCGGTCTCAAGCACGAGACCGAGAAAACGAACTACGAATGGCTTGATCCCGGCATGGGTACGTAGGCAGCCTTTCCAAAGGTTCAGCTATACCCCCAATAAAATTCTATAATCCGTCTGACGAGATGAGCATTGTAAAATTTTATTCACCTCCAAAGGCACACGTCGACGTTCTGGCCAAACCTCTCGACAACACCGATCTCGTCATCACACGAGATCGAGCGGTCTCGTCATCACACGAGCCCGAGAAAACACCGATCTTGTCATCCAAGATCGAGCGGTCTCGTCATCACACGAGCCCGATAAAACCGGTCTCGCCAAAGCGCGAATCCGAGAAAAACATACGGACTGATCATCCATGAGGAGTAAGCCGACGCGAAGCCGTCGCGTCCGAACCGATGGGAATGCCTTCAGACTTTGGGGTGAGCCCGAAAGGTCTGAGGTCTGAAGGACGAAATCGAGCGGTCTCGTCATCACACGAGCCGATCTCGTCATCATATACGAAATCGAGCGGTCTCGTCATCACACGAGCCCGATCTCGTCATCATATACGAAATCGAGCGGTCTCGTCATCACACGAGCCCGAGAAGACACCGATCTCGTCATCATATACGAATCGAGCGGTCTCGTCATCACACGAGCCCGATAAAACCAATCTCGTCGAAGCTCGAATCCGAGAAAAATCGTCACAGCAATCTATTCTCCTTGACGAGACAAAAGAGTCATCTCGTCAAGTCCGAGAGAAATTATCAAAAGCACATTCTATTTGCGGACAAGATTACGTCACTGTACTCTTTTCCCTTCTTATGGTTTTTATCCCATAGGGTTTTTCCATATCAAGGTTTTAACGAGGCAGTACGGATCTAAAGTCAATAACGCAACGCAGCATCACGTCAGCGCAGCATCGCGACAACATCGCGTCGGCATCACATAGTTATTATTAATTGCTCTTGAGCTCCTCTTTTATACATGAAGTTCGCCGAGATTAAATTGCATTTATCTCGCCAAACTGGGGGGGACTTATTGTTAGAGCAGAAATTAGCACAATTTCCTGAGCCCGTCACAATTAATAATACTATGTAAGCCCGGCCCGCTTCCACTTCCACCTCCTCAAAGAAAAGGAAGTACTTGGAGAAAAAGACTACATCCAAGAAAAATAGAAGGAGATCAACGCCAAAGAAGAATATTTCCAAAAGAAATATGGAAGAATATCTTGAAGAAGCCAACCTCCTCTCCATATAAATAGAAGACCCCCTATTCCTTGAGAGCATCCACAATCATTCAGAATCATTCATAACCAGTGGCGGAGCCACTTTACGTAAGTCTGTTGCCCCCTATGCTCTTTGTCAAAACCCCATGTAAATTACAACTAGTTTTCATTATGCCTCCATTGTTTATTGTGATTTAACCTTTAAATAATCCTTAAATGTTTGAAAATTTCATCAATGCCCCCTATAAGAAAAGTTTATGCCTCCGCCACTGTTTATAACCATCCATAAGCATCCAGAAATATTCAGAAAACCTTAGTCATAATTCGTCATTTATTCTTAGCTTCTCTATTCTCTTTGTATTTGTTTCCTCAAGCCTTATCGTCGAGACAAATCACCCTTGTACCATTTTTTATCTTTGATTGATCTAATAAAGAGTCTTTCCTAAACCTCACATATTTTATCTTACTATTACTGTGCGATTTTGAGATCTTACAATAATTCTCAAGGCTTGTACGTACTGCATAAAAACCACCTTAGTTGAATCACACGAGCTAGTAATTCGTTTTGAAACTTTTAAATAGAAATATGTATACTTATATCCTTTTACAAAAAAGAAAAGAAAAAGAAGGAAATATGTATACTTACAAAAACTTATGATCGATTGATCTAAAATACACAAATATTCGAAATTGTAAAATTTTCCCAAATAATTGATCGCAGATATAAATAGCACTTTTAATTTCCCGATAAGAATATTCTACCGTCACCTGTTCCAATTACGTCATCAAACTTTAAATATGATATGGCATTTTCTTGAACCTGTTAAACTTTATAAGTATGATTTTTCGTGTGTCTGTAACTTATTCTACATGTAGCGATAGTATCTGTGACTCAGTGAGGGAAGCATTCTCTTAGAATACGATCAGAAATCGAAGGAAAGGACTTTGATGATGAAAATAGCTATGGGTCAACTTACTCGTCAGTGACTTTATTATGCACATGACTTACTTAGTTAGAACATGTCCAGTGGTGATCAGCACCAATCTCTTATAAATAAAAATAAATCAAAAATGTGAAAAAGGAAGAAAGAGGGTGTAAAAAAAAGTGAGACGTATCAGTTATAAGAAACGTTCCTGAGACTTAGAATACATGTGTTATTGTTTGTAAGAATAACACAATTTAATATTTAATATTTAATTATAAATTTAAATTAAAGTAATATAATAATGTTATGATATTCATAGGTCCGTCTTACTCTTACTGCTGGATATGCTCTTACTCGGTAGTCGTTACAATGGCTAAGCTAAGTAAACCTTAAAGTCCAGCCTCGTCTATCGTACCAAGACGTGGCTCCATGCATGTAAAAGCTTACGCACATAGTGACATAATTATCTGTTATCCATGTTTTTGTTTAATTTCTTCCGTAATTAATGTGACAAAAAGTTAGTGTACATCTTTGTTTTTAGAAAATTGGTTAACTGATATGGTTTGTGCAGTCTTTGACTAATTTAATCCATAATCCAGTGATTAGACAGATAATCCGATTATCCGATTCGCTCGCACCTCACAGTTCCATGCAATATACTACAGTGTATACTTTAAACGTGACTGTGGAAAAGGCAAATTTTCTATCCTGGCTTAACTTTTAAAATTTGAGTCAAAGAAAAACAAAACTTTACTTTCACATTGATTGAGTTTGATACAGTTGGGAGATTCAGACAACATTTTTAAAATATACTGAAGATAGGGGCCACACAACAAGTGTTTTTTAAGAGACTTTTCTTTCATATAACTTCAAAATACTTTTTGACAGTACTTGTTTTATTTTACTATTGTTCTCACAAAGACAGACACAGACTATCAAACAATAACTAAAAACATCTCGCTAAGATAACAACATTTTCAAACTTATAATAACTATAGTAATTCCTATTATTAATCGAAACGAAGCAGAAAATAACTTCTGATTAATTTTTATAAAATAAAGAAAAATTCACACTTCAGATTCTTTTTTTTTCCCATTGTAAAGAACCAAGAACTACGAGTTTTACTGATATAGCTGTAAAACAAATTAACCAACCACTTTTTAGCACTGATTCGCTGACAATCCGATAAGATTTTTCGCTAGATCGTAAGTGATACGTGTCCCTTGCTGCTGCACGTTTCCGATGATTGACAACGACGACTGCGTCGGAGCAAAAGCGAAGCAGAACGTCCCGGCATCGTCCACAGGGATCAGGTAGTTCTTCGCCGGCAGATCGAGCGACTTCCCCCCGGTGAAATGAAACCTGACCGTCGGGACTTTGACGGTGGAGAGAGACGAGAAGTCGTAGCACGTGTCGAAGAGAGAGATGCTCGACGTTCCTTTCTTCAGATTCGTGGTGAGTTTAGCGAACGAGTCGCGGAGCGAGTCATAGGCCACGGTCTGAAGACGAGTCACGGCGGTTCCACAGTCCAAGATCACTCCTCCACCTCCTGACTCGTCGACTTCGAACACCGACGACGGGATCGAGACCTTTTGACCACCGACGCTGAATCCGCTGAGTCCGACGTAGTAGAAAGTGTCGATCTTTCTGTTACGGAGAAGCGGCGCCGTCGCGTCTCCGGAACCGAGTTTGACCGAGTTGAAATCGAGACTCGACGATTTAGTCGAGTCACGGTCAACGAGGCAGTAAGAAAACGACGTCGCTTTGATCTGATTCGTCATCGACAAAGCTCCACCGCCTAAACCGAGCAAACCGGCTGCTCCAGTGAAGAGACCTTCGTTATCGTGACCGCAACCCAGACCGACGTTGTCTACTTTACCGGAGCTGCCAAACGTCACCGTATCGGTAGCGTAATCTCCGACGGTGAAAGATCCATCGCCGTAACTAACTTGGTAGAGACATTTGTTTGAACGACAAGCGGAGGTTTGGAGAGACTCGCACTTTGGATCAGAGCAAGTGAGCGATTTGTAAGTGGAAGACGAAGCCGGGTCGAAAATCGGGTCGGACTGTTGGTAACAGTCGGAGCAAGGTTGGCACTGCATCCAGTTCACGTCGCTTCCGGTGTCGAGCACCATGTACATCTCCTTCGCCGGAGTTCCCACTCCGATTTTAGAGAAATACTCTCCGCTTCCTTGGCCAGCTCCGGAGATGACAGGTGTCGTTAGATCCTCCGGCTGGAATCGCGTTTCGTCGCTGTAGACGGGTTTGAGATCGGATCTGTCGATTCCTTCGACGGCGAAACGAATTTTGGTGGCGATTCCGGCGACTCGGGATGAGTCGCGCTCGAGTCGACTCAGTACTAGGCTTTTGTAGTCCTTGTGCTGAGATGCGACGAGAGTGTCTCGGGAGTGAAGCTCTAGAGAGAGTGGAGAAGAGGAGTTGAGGTAAACCGGGTCGGATAAGGATTCTAATCCGGGTCTGGTGGTGGTGAGTGAGGAACGAGCTGGGTCGTGTGAGAGGATGTGTTGGGTTTGCTGGAGAGATGAAGCGACGTCGAGTACTGTGGTTTTAGGTGAAGTGGATGGATAGCGAGAGGAGGCATCGGTGGAGGTGAGGAAAAGAGAGAGGGTGACGACGGAGATGAGAGAGAAAAATGGTGAGAAAGCCATTGCTTCCGGCGAAGGTAATGAAGTTAAAGTGGAGGAGAAAAAGAGTAAGTAATGTTTGATTTATAGAGAAAATGTTAGCGGAGAGAGTCACGCCATAATTGTTGTGGTTATAATTGCGACATCAATAACTTATCAGTTACTTAAATACAGTATTGTGATTTCACATTATCAACCGATAACATTTTTATATTATTAAGATATAAGATATGTTTATGAAATTATTGCGACATTTTCATAAATACTTTAATACATAATCTTATGTTATCATGTATGATTCCAACCAAGTATAATACTGTATAATGTATTCCCATTAAGATTACTAGAGTAGATGTTACAGAGTTATTTTGATTATTATTGTAATATTTTTCTGGCCGTCGTAGAGTTGAAACACAGATTACAGATTACTGTACGGACATGAGTAGTACATAGTGGTTGATAGGGACCTGCTAAATTTCCTTACAGATGATTATCCAATAGTATTAACACCCTCGAAAAGCGTGAGTACGTGTTACAGTATTTATTTGTTTCAACAAGTTCAACTACAAAAAAGAAAAATATTTCACCGGATAGAGCTTTCTTCGCTTGTGCATAAATTTTCAACCAATTTGTCTTCACTATTTTACTTTCGAGTTTAGACTAAACGAAAGTTCAGTTCTGCGGTAAGTTTGAACTATTAAACCCAAGACAAATTTAATTTAGATTTAATAACTAACATACGGACCCGGTCCACACCATTCAAATGGCGTTACGTATGAAATAAAAACCAACAAAACAACAATGTACAGACAGTTTATAACGAATGTTGTATAGTACTGCACATTTTTTCTCCAATGTTTAGCGGATCAAATTTGTTAACGGTAATTAATGATCGAAAGCTACGGGTGTTCTGTAAACTGTAAAGTGGAAAAGGAGTGAATCTGAGAGTAGTAGATAGATAGGTTAAGAAAGTAATTGATGTGAGAAGTGGGGCAAGTTGTTACTTCGTTAGACGAGCTTTGGGTTTATTTCGCTTTCCCTGAATTAATGGTAACGCACTCTTTCAGCCTTGGTCGTTGCGTTTCATTTATTTCTCTCTTGTTTTTTTATTCATATATTGTCCATCTTCTATACATCCACTTTACCTTTTCTCTAAATAAGATTACAATCAATAATGGTTCATTTACTTTGAAGTTTTATCCACATATACTTCAGTATTTATTTTTAGGGATTCGTTTTGATCATCTGTTGGGAGTGGTAATAAAACTTTTAAGAACATCATAATGTAAACGCAATAATAGAGCTCTTCTTTGTCAAAGCCTCAAAGGCAAAAATTGTAAAAAAGAAACGAACAGACAGTATTATTGATGCTTCAGTTATAGCAGCTACGTACTAGGCATGCTTGGAAAAGATAATATGGACACAAATATTAAAAACATACTGTAAATAATATGGACATAATCATTTATATTTCATGTTTATAATTTCTTGTTTAAGTTAAGCCTAACGCATAATGAATAAATCAGAGATTAGTCTTGTATTTATTTGTATGGGCCTGATAATGGGCCAAGGGAGAGTAAAATTATGGATTTTATTTGTCTGAATAAGAAGAAAAATTGGAAAAAAAAGATATTATTATCCGTATGGCGCCAAGCGGTGTGTGTGGTTTTCGATCTCTTCCAAATTTCTGAATTTCCCACTCTCAAAATCTCCACAAAATCAAAATGAGCTGCGCCGGATTTTCTTGGTCACGGCCAACCGGAGCTTTCCGACTAACCTCCGGCGGTAACCTTTCGTCTGGATTTCATCGATGTCCTTTATCGTGTCTAATTTTCCGTTCCTCTAGCGATGCGCACTTCGTCGTGTCCTCCACATCTGGACCGTCCGATTCGCATGTCGAAAATTCGTCAAATCGCTCTTACAGCCGTCGCTGGCAAAACCCGCTTCCCCGGCGTCGACATCCCGATCAAATGCCGACTTCTCGGGTTTTTGCTCGTGACTGGATCGATTCAGAAACCTCTTCAGCTTCCGAAGGTAGTGTGATGATGATGATGATCTTATGGAATCTATGTTTCTTAATTATATCCAATTTTTTATGAATTGAGGCACCAAGCTAGGCTCGAGTTTCTGTTCGTGTGAAATTTGTGGTTCCTTTGTTCTGACAAATGTCTGTGTGTGATAATATAGCTTCATCAGAGAGAGTCACTGTAGTGTCATACAACATACTGGGAGATAGAAACTCATCATATCACAAAGAATTATACTCCAACGTGTCATTTCCTTACCTGAAATGGGGCTACCGCAAAAGGTTGATTTGCGAGGAACTGATTCGTCTCAAACCAGACATAATCTGTTTGCAGGTAGTATAGATTTTCCTTCTTTCTTCTTGACTACCGAGTCGAGTGTTAAGTTCGTTGGTCTGTAAACGAACAATATCATTGATTCTTGTAGGAAGTAGACAAGTATTTCGACCTATTCAGCATGATGGAGAAAGCTGGATATGCTGGCTCCTACAAGGTACCAATACCATATCAAAAACGTCTCTGGTATCGTTTACGTACCTTTTAGTATGAAGCCTCAGAGAAAGTTTTGTTTACATGTAAGGACTACAAAATATAAGCTTTGCAATGGCAGCGGCGAACTGGAGATAACATTGATGGGTGTGCAATGTTTTGGAAGGCCGATAGGTACCAAAGTTTGCTATTCTCTGTTCAGTGTGAAGCAAAAGTAACAAACTCAATCTCTGTTTTACTTTAAAGATATATGTTCTTTTGACAAGGTTTCGGGTTTTGGAGAGGGAAAACGTTGCGTTTAGCCAGTTTGGCATGTGCGATAATGTTGCACAACTTGCTGTTCTCGAGGTAGCAATTCCTTTTGTAATGTTTTTACAAACTTTGTTTATGCTTAGTTGTTTTCCATCCATGATTGATCCAATTACTTGGTGTTTTCTGTCAGATGCACAAGTCGTCTAAGTCAAGAAAGCTACTGCTGGGTAACATTCACGTGCTTTATAATCCACGTAGAGGAGATGTGAAGCTGGGTCAAGTAAGTGTCGACATTTCAATTGGTAGATGCACTACTACAGGAACAATTGACAGCAATGGTCGTTTTAAGTTTTACAAATGTTGATTGGTCCCTGTGGCCTGAAGACTTCATTAGTTATATTTATCTAAGTCACTCGTACTGAATCTCAGCCAATAGATGTTTCTAATTGTTCCAATGACTTATTCTTGATTGGTAGATCCGTTCGCTCTGCTCAAAGGCTCACTTGCTCTCTACGAAATGGGGTGATATTCCTATTATTCTAGGCGGGGATTTCAATAGCACACCCCAGGTACATATATCTTTTCCAAAATAAACACATCCACTTCGGTATTGTCTATTTGTTTATTTCATTATTTTGATTTTATCTAACCACATGCAGAGCCCATTATACAACTTCCTGGCGTCCTCTGAGGTACGAACATTTGCAGTCTTGCTTGAGCCAAACTGCTCATTTTTCCGCTTATGGATTATGTTTCTATCGTACAGCTGAATCTCATGAAACATGACAAAAGAGAGCTGTCTGGCCAGAAAAATTGTAGTCCAACTCAAGTTCTTGAGACCGGAAACGAATATAGTAATAATACAACAACTTCCATAAGCAGGTACGATTCTCTTTTAATGATTTAATCAGGTATGCAGTTAATGTTTTTCTAGTGATTTCCTGGTGAAATATCCATTGGTTTTTGATACTCATTGGCTTCAGATGCATAAGTAGTTCTTGGAGCAACGAAGAGATCCGTGTCGGGACTGGGCAAGAGAACTCGTACTGGGCAGTGCATCCTTTGAAACTCCATAGCTCATACGCATCAGTTAAGGTAACACACACACACACACAAAGTCTTATTTTCCTATACTTGACAAGACATATGATCATGGTCATGGGACACGACAGGGCTCAACAAATACTAGGGACTCTGTTGATGAACCTCTAGCAACCTCGTACCACTCGAAATTTCTGGGAACGGTTGATTATCTCTGGTAAAAACGAAAAAAGCATCTGTAATTAAAAGTTTAAAACCAAATTCGAATTGACAAATATAGTAGTTGGCTGATGAAACACATGTGTGTGTGTGTGTGGTTCAGGTACTCGGATGGTCTAGTAGCTGCAAGAGTTCTTGATACACTTCCCATTGATCTTCTCTGCAAAACCAAAGGCCTTCCTTGTCAAGTATGTTTTATTGAACAGTTGGTGATTTTTGTTTGGTTACTACCACAATGCCTAATGGTTTAGCCTTGCTCGTCTTTGTTTCTGCAGGAATTGGGAAGCGATCACTTGGTATTGGCTTCGGAATTTTTCTTTGAACCGAATGGTTGAATTGGAGGCAGCTAAACAAACTTTTTTTTTCCTTCTTGCGATTACATGTTTGTCTTACTATAGTAAAGTGTAAGAATACCGAAATCACCGGATCATTGTATCAAATTAAACCGACATCTCGGTGAATAATTGAAACCGAGATAATCAGAAACCTTACGTCAGCTTTTTTATCGGGCCACTGCAATATCAAACTTACTTTTTGGAACGTAAAATGTTGAGACCAAAGAGTTCTTTTGCTTTTCAGAATTGGTTTACTTTGATTTCCTTCCCTAACCAACGAGTTTCACTGGATGTGAACCGAACCGGAAATGAGATCGGTTTGAGACTTACCAAAAATTAAATCCAAATTAAAAAGAAGGAATTGAGCCAATCCAATCGGAAGAAGGAAAATAAGAAATGGCGTCGCAGACATGGGGTTACGCACGGATCATAGCTGGAACACTTCTCGGCGGGACTCTCGGGTTCTACGTAATGCATCGCATCGAAGTTAGCTACAAGGTCATTTTCTTCTTCTTCTCTCTGAGAAAGCTTGTGCTTGACTTTAGACTATGGTGTTTTATATATTTGTTTTCATAACACTTTGGTTTTACGCAGATGAGGATGGAGGAAGCATTAAGGCAACACGAGAAGGAAATGAAGAAGAGACAAGAAGAAGAGAATCTCGGTCAGATCAGTGAAGATTCCCTCTAGCTTAGTTGCGTTGAACCATGCATTTAAAGTGTTCGATGAAATGCTCAAGAGAGATTTTTGTTCTGTTTTTTTTTTTGTTTCTACTTTTTTGCTCTCCTGTAATTGTCGGATTGGTTTGGTTCGGTCTGGCATTATTACAATGTTGTAACTGAATTTTGTTTGAAACCTATAACTTATAAAAATAAGTTTGTCTAATGAAGCAAGCATCTAAAGTTTCGATGAACATGCGCTGAAGTTGTGACTGAATTTGGTTTAAAATTCTCCTATTTAAGTTTTTACTCTAATCTGATTTGGTTTGGTTTGGCATTTATCCTATTCACACCCTAAGAATGCCATCATTCCACTGTTTTCACTGTTACAACTAATAAAAAGCGCCAAAACATATACTAGTATCTAGATTTTAATGTTCTGTGTATGTGCATGTGCTCAATGAAAACCATATTGTAGTAGGGTCAATTCAATTCCTGAATATTCAGGGTAAACTCCAAACAATGAAAGACATGTCTGAAACAGAACATTATTATATATATATATATATATTTTTTTTTCAAGTTATTCTATTGAAAATGCTAGAAAGTTAAATCACATTTGAATTAAACATATAAATTTAGACAGAGCTTTAAATATCTATATGAAAGAGACATGACTAGAAGAGACATGAGCAGTTCATTACATTATATTGTTTTTGGGGGGAGGGGGGGGCATACCACAATTGCACAAAAACGTAAGTACCATTTCCAGTGCATTGACAGTGTTATTTTATAAGAGTTTTTATGGGGAAAAGAAGATGACGAGGGCATACTATCTAGCATTTAAATATCTTGTTCGACCTATCATATTACACAAACAGAAGTAAGAATATTGTGATCGAGGTTGCCGGATCTACAAAAAGGGGTATATATGTGACGTGTCTTTACATATATAACCATTTTATGGAGTGCAAATGAAACTATGACAAAATAAATAATTAAACAAATAGAAAGAAAGGGCCAAAAACCAAAATCGCATTCTCAGAAATTAAGGTTGGATTGAGTGCAACAGCCAACAGGCAAGAGATGTCTTGTCTTCGTGAACTTCACGTGCATGGTGCATCCCCTCCACATTGCCCTTTCGTGCTTTACATAAGATCGTAGTTAAGTCTGATTACTTTTTTCAATAATGGAAAAGATGTGATGGATTCGACTTTTTGCTTCCTATATTTGAATACATAGAAATTTCCCATGTAATTGCCAACTATATCTGGAAAATGAAAGAAGAAAATTTGACTCTCTTTTTTTTCTTTGTTTTTGTTATATAAAACAGTCGACTCTAAAACTTTTGTTAACAAAATTTAGATTCTGAATTCGTAATATCCACATATCAAAACCTATTTTTGATTACTTTTCGTGTTGGATTTGCAAAGCTTAAGTTATCCTTCTTCAGCGTAAAATCCCTTATGATAAAAAGAAATCCTTCTTCAGCGTAAGACTTTAACATTAAAACTGGAAACATTTCTTTATCGGTGTAAACTGTTAAGTGTAAACTCTCCTAAAATTTGTGACAATATAAAGTACTAACAGGTAGACTACATAATCAGAAATCTGTACTTCTGTGTGGTCCTCAAATCTATTTCTAGAATGTAATTTTATAGATTCAAAATTGTTTTCTGTGTTGTCATCTTATAAAGAATTGATAAATCTGTGTCAAAGATGTATATTTTTCTTGGAATTTTTAAATCAGAGCTATGGATTCAATCAATACACGTTTTGAAGTTAGAATCACCAAAATCTTAACTAAAATTATACAAAAGATGGAATCACCAATGTTTTTCATAAAACAAAAGAAAGAAAACAAAACAAAAGCATGTCTAGTGAGTCTAAGTGCTGGTAGTTGTATACATTTTCGCCACTACAAAATTATACAAATAACTTTAATTGCCGTCGAAGAAAAGCAATAAGAAAGATACTACATGTATATAAGAATAGTATCACTCTAGTAATCAAAACCAAAAAGAAAGGAAAATCAAAGTTGTATGTTACAGGAGGAAAAAAGACGAAGCAAAACTTGCACCGCCAAAATATATAGTAAGAAATATAAGTGCATCGGATATTCCGAAAAACGACCATGTATAATATATATGGTATTTGCGGAAAAGCGATCATGTATATATGGTATTCGGACACATATAAACTATACACACATATAAACTTCAACAAAAAAAAACTATACCTTTTCGCACCAAAAAAAAGAAAACAGAATATAAAGAATACGTTACTCTTCTATTCCTTCTCTGTTGGCATCAGCTACGATATTTTATATGAGATGTGTGATAAGAAAACAAAAGCTTATGAGCGTGTTTTGAGGTCCCTAGCGATTTATACGAAAATGCGCTGTCCATATTGTGAAGAAGAGACTAACTTGACCTTAATAATTAATTAGTTCGTCATGGAGTAGAATTATTAAGATGACCAGAGCTTTAAATGCCAAGTATCATCACAATGAATGGAGTCAGCAGACAGCAGAGTGTGTGATCTCTTTTGAAAACTATAGTTATTTACGTTTCTTTTTTTTTGTTTGGAACAACATCTTGATTTTAACAGTTAAGTTTTAACATGAGAGAGTTAAATTTTAACATGATAAGATTCAGTCGTACGATTGGTAGTATATATAAATATATGCTCTACGTTTCAAATGAAGCATAAAGCTAGATAAAAATGTATAATCTCCAAGCAGAATTGTAGTATATATCATTGTATAATCTCTTAAACTCAAAAAACTACTTTTGTATAATCTCGAAAGACAAAATTGTATAAAAACAAAATATAAATCTCGAAAACAGAGTAAAAACATAATTATTAATCGTAAACCTATTGGACAATAAATGTACGAAGAGTTAAATAACTATACGTAAATACGTAATGTTCGACGATTTCTCTTTGCACTCATGCATTTTTTTAATTAGTTTTAGTGAAAATTTAAAACATGCATGCCAAAACGTTTCGAACGTTTATTTCAAAACAAACCCGAACTCGGAACAAGTCCCTTAAAATCGATCGCCCATTTAGAAAAGAATTATAGGAGTATACTATAACTTCTAACAATGAATCTGGACGTTCCGCATAAGCGTAATCATACTAAATAAATCCATCACAAAATCTCTGCCGATGATGAATATCTTTGAACTGAAAGGAGACAAGAAAACAATACATCAAATATTTTCAACCATAATGGGAAGCTAGTCGGTCACACTTAATTTGTTTTTGGGTTGTTTCGTTGAAGGGTCCCGAATCAATGGTGTGGAAATACTTTCTCCTTATCTCTTTCTCTCTCTCTCAAATCCCAATCCAATATAATTATGATGAACCTTACACTTTCTTTTAAAATAATCTATAAACATCACACAATCATCAAGTTACACCTGAACCTCAAAAAACTTATATATAGGGAGAAACAATGAGGGAGAAGTCAAAGGAGGAGGCGGTGAAGAATTGGGAGAAGAAGAAGAAGTCTTGTTCACCGAAAGGAGTTGGGGAGTTTCTGAAAAAGAAGAAAGGAAGGTTCTACATTATTGGAAAATGTATTACTATGCTTCTTTGTTCCCACGAGTGATCATCGATACACACATTTGTATATGCATGTATATATATATATATATAGATGATTATATAGAGGTATGAAAAGGATCGATTTAGCTCACGTATTTACATTACATTTTCCGGTGTTTCTTTCTCATGTTTACGCGGGGTGTGTTGTTGTTATAACAGTACTCAATACTTTTGCAAAGGATGGAATATTTGTTTTGAAGATATCAGGTAAGTTAGTTCTTTATACTCAGCAGTTAGCATAATATATATATAGTAAACCGGCGCTTGTGGCCCGGTGGTAAAGGACCCTCAGCTGAGGTATCCGCCACCTGGGTTCGAGTCCCGGCCACAACGGATTTAACATCCCTTCCGTTGGGGCGCTGGACCCCACTTGTGGGGATAGTCGGGAATGTGGCTGCCCGGATACCAGAGTTATCAAAAAAAAAATATATATATAGTACCACAGCTAGCAACCTATATCCTAATGTCGCATGTATATTACATAAACTGATATTTTTTTTTGAACAAAATAGTATATATTTTCTTTTCTTTTGGCGTTATATTTTTCGAGTTATATGAGATTCCTTATACTATCTGATAACGCCGTTGCCAGATGAATTTTTTAATTAGTCTAGTAATTAAAACTTACCAATTACATTCAAACATCGATCAACCAAGTCGTCCTCGATGGTCGCCGTTGTGGGTTTCATTTCATGGATATTTGAACAGCTTTGCGACTTTACCAAGTTAAAGTGCTTCTTCGAAAAGCTCGCATGTTATCATCTTTGGATAAAGCGTTCTACACTTGGCACTATTTGCATGTTCCTCTCCCCTCATAAACAGTACTATATTCGAAACCCAAATCTCATGGAAGAGACAGGACATCATCGTCATTGTTTCAAGTTTCAGTAAGGGCTGAGATTCATATAATTAGGGCTTTTTGTTTTTGTTTTTAATAGTCAAAAGATGGTAGCTACTAACTAGGTTTACCATTTTGCTATGCACGTTAACCGAATGGAGAAAACCAGAAATAAAATAAAGGTTACATTAACTCACCTCCGTTAATGGGCTTATCTCTTATTGGGTTACAGCTATTCGGCCCAAGTAACCCGTTACACTTTGACCTTTAAACGACGTCGCCGCCGTCTCTCTGCTCTGTCAGCTCTATCGTGGTAGGTTTCGCCGGAAGAAGCTCATAAGGTAATTTAGCTCCGTCGCTGAAATTTTTATTTCGGTTTCCGAAGGGCAAATCTTTAGTTCTGGATCGGGGGTAGATTAGGGTTTACACAAGAAAAATCAAATTCTCGAGAATTTTTTCCTTCTCAACTGTTTTTCTTTTTTCTATTTTGGCACAGCGGAAGATTTTCCCAGCTGGTTAGTAGTAGTTTCAGTGACTACTGAAGTAACAACAATGGTTCTAGAGACTCTCGATAGTTCCCGGGAGGGTTCAAAGAGAAAACACGCCAACGGTGGTGATGCGGCGGTTCCTTGTTCCGACGACGATGAGCTCAGCAACGGAGACTTAAATACTGCATCTGGTTTATCATCCGTAAGCTAAAAAACCATGGCTTTACTCTTTGATGACGTTCCTCTGTTTTTGGATTCGGCACTGGGTGATTTCGTCTGCCATTGTTATGTCTTTATGCAGAAAAGAGCTAGGGCTTCGAAAGAAATGACGTTTGAAGATATCTACGGTGCGGAGGCATTGCTGAATGGAGAAGATGAAGAGGATGATAGTGATTGGGAACCTGTGCAGACCCCTGTTGAGTTTGTGAAATGGTGTTGCGTTAACTGCACGATGGCGAATCCTGGTGATATGGTCCATTGTTATGTACGTTTTTTGTTTTACCTTTTCGTAAATGAATTTGGGGGCTCTCTTGTGCTGATTTGGTCTGGAGCTCTGCTCTAAATGTGGTTTCTCAAGTGACACGCGTGTGTGTGTACAATGTGCATTGGCTATCAATCAGTAAAAAGTTGATTTCTTGATGCAGATATGTGGTGAGCACAAGGAATCTGGCATCTTGAGGCATGGATATTTTGCATCTCCGTTTTTCAAAGACTCTGGTCTCATTGAAGTCGAAGAGAAATGTGGAGGTAGGAATTACCTGTTTTGCTTCTCTTGAACACGTCCTTAATGAAATACTGCTATTTCAGCTCCAAACTACATATCTAACTTTAGTGATTGTAAGCATGCTCACTTCTCTTTTCAACCTGATCTTAGGAAGCTCTGCAACCAGCTCAACAGCTGTTGGATTTGATGAGAGAATGTTGCTACACTCAGAAGTATGTGATACTGCTACCGTTGTGTTTTCCTGATAAAATCTCTTGACATCAATAAGATTTGTTATCTCCAAAGATTTTTCTCCGTGAAAGTGTTTCCATTTTAACATGTGTTTATGGCATGCTTAATAAGTTCGAAGTGAAGGCACAGCCACATCCTGAGAGACCTGATCGTCTTCGAGCTATAGCCGCCAGCCTTGCCACAGCTGGTATATCGGTTTACTATCGTTAGCATGTCAATATATTCGATTTTGCCATATTATACTCTGTTGGGAGTAATTTTTGAATTCACCACGTTTGAAAAATTGCAGGCGTGTTTCCTGGAAGATGCTTGCCTATTCATGCTAGGGAAATCACGAAACAAGAACTCCAGATGGTGAGCTGCTACTTAATAGTCTTGTCTTAGCCACATCTCTAACTGCGAGTAGTTTGCTTATTGCATTACTTTTACAAACATTTCGTTAACAGGTTTAAATTTATCATGTTGTAGGTCCACACTTCAGAGCATATTGACGCTGTTGACATTACAAGCCAGCTTCTCTATAGGTTTGAATTTGAACCATTTTTTCTCCCTACCATCTGTAACTTTGCAGTGTTCACCATGAAAAACGTGCTTGTTTACCAATTTGTTTGTGTCCTTTGCCTAAGCTGTTCTGCACTTATCTATTTTTGCTCTTACTAGTCATCTTTTCCCATTGCCTGGCAGTTACTTCACCTCTGACACATATGCTAATGAGTATTCAGCACGTGCTGCTAGACTTGCAGCAGGTTTGTGCGCTGATCTAGCTACAGAAATTTTCTCTGGCCGTGTCAAAAATGGTTTTGCTTTGGTATGTCAAATTCACCATGATTTCAAAATTTACGTGTGTAACTACTCATTTGCTAGAAATTGAAATTACAGCATATCGGTTTTGACAAAATCTTTGATTGAATCAGGTTAGACCTCCCGGTCATCATGCTGGCATCAAACATGCTATGGGGTTTTGCCTTCACAATAATGCAGCTGTTGCTGCATTAGTAGCACAAGCAGCAGGAGCAAAAAAAGTGCTGATTGTGGACTGGGTAATGTCACTGATAACTCATTGCTGGGTGGTTTTGTACAACTTTAAACTCCTGAAGTCTTGTTCTCTGCATCACGTGTTAAGGCTCATGTGAATATTTCTCCATTGTTGCAGGACGTCCATCATGGAAATGGAACCCAAGAGATATTCGAACAAAGCAAATCTGTAAGCTGCCTAATTCTATGCATTTCTCCACATCGATTCTTGGAGTGTCGTATGCACTGAATTGTGTGAATTGACCTTTTTCGTACTAACTATCTGGAACCATTTTATAGGTATTGTACATATCCTTACACAGACATGAGGGAGGAAACTTCTATCCTGGTACTGGAGCTGCTGATGAGGTACCTATGTTATTCTGTTGAACATTATCTCATTAAGTAGACTTTGTTGCCACAGTTTATATCCATATATATGAACTTTTTATTATGTGGCATTATTTTTGTGCTTTATATCCTGTTTCGAGCATCTATTGAAGTCTAGTAGAGCAAAGTTTCTTATATTTGATTATGCGGTGCAGGTTGGTTCAAATGGTGCTGAAGGTTACTGTGTAAATGTTCCATGGAGCTGTGGCGGAGTTGGTGATAAAGACTATATCTATGCCTTTCAGCATGTAGTTCTTCCCATAGGTACAGAGTCATGTTCTGCTTTCTCCTTTTGAGTTTGTCTCAAGATTCAACTCTAGTCTATACAAATATTTGGTTTTCCAGAAACCAGGTTTTGGCTTAATTGATAAACTAATACGCTCAGCAAGAAAACTGATCTTTTGGATGTGCGTTTATTCTTTACTCGGTCTAATTTCAACTTGAACTCTCTCCTTGCAGCTTCCGCATTTTCTCCTGATTTTGTCATCGTGTCAGCGGGATTTGATGCGGCTAGAGGAGACCCACTAGGCTGCTGTGATGTAAGTTTTTATATTCTAGGGACGTAATTGACAACTTCTGGAATCAGTATTGTCCTCTGCACCTCATCAGAGGATGTTTTGTTCAATCTACTGCCAATTCAATATTGGTTTTAAGAGACCAAGTTTACTCTTACTTGCAGGTAACTCCAGCTGGTTATTCACGAATGACACAGATGTTAGGTGATCTATGCGGCGGAAAAATGCTAGTTATTCTGGAGGGCGGGTACAATCTGCGCTCCATATCTTCTTCTGCTACAGCAGTGATCAAGGTTGATCTCTATTTCAAACTCCATATCTTCCAAAATCTGCATATGGTTATGGAGACTAACGTTTATTCACCATCCCTCTTAATCTGTAAAGGTGCTTCTGGGTGAAAGTCCGGAGAACGACTTGCCTATCGCTACCACGCCTTCAAGAGCCGGTCTGCAAACTGTTCTTGATGTAATGAATATTCAAATGAAGTTCTGGCCATCACTTGCCACTGCCTACTCCAAGTTACTCTCAGAATGGGAAACACGTCTCATCGAAAACAATAGTGAGTGATCTTTCCCCCCAAAAGAAGAATATGCATCCTTCTTCATTGCATTCTCCTAATAATATCTCACTGGTTTTACAGAAAATCAGGTGAAAAAAGAGAATCAGGTGAAAAGGAAGAAGCTTGTTCGGGTTCCCAAATGGTGGAAATATGGACGAAAGAAGCATTTGTACAAGTTCTTCTCTGCTCGTACGAAATCAAGATCAAAAAGATGCTAGAAAAAAACATCTTCCTGATCACTCGTAGCAATTGTATTCTAACTTAAATCTTTTGATACCATGAGAATACAGTTTAGTCGCAGGTCACTAATCCAGGTATCTTGATTTTGTTGAATATTTCTTCGCATCAAGTGTCAGAAAGAATTGCACTAGTCTGAAGTTCTCTCATACGAGTTTTTAACAACAAAATGGGAGATGAAAGGAAACAAACAAAAATGATGAAACGTCGTTTTTGCATTCATCTGTCTCGTTCAAGCAAAAGACAACTACGAGTCTACAAGAAAGGACAGCTAATTTACAAGTACGAAACCAGAGAAGAAGTGAATCCCAAGGCTTTTTTTAGAGGAACTGCTTGAGCCAGTGGCAATTCGCAGAATCTTTCTCTAGCTCTTCTTTCATATCACGTAGGCGTTGAAGTGAATCTTTATGCTCCATTTTATCAAGTCGCATCTCTGCAAATTCTTTTAGAAACTTGTGAGCTCTCGCTGCCCCTCTCGATACTTCCTCTGGATCATCTTCTCTGCTCTTTCTCTTCCCACTCTCCTGCAAACAGCAGCACAACATTCTCATCTTTGTTTCAATACATAGGCACAAAACTGAAGAATGTGTCAAGATTCCATCATCAACCAAAACGAATCCGGACCTCATTGTTGATTATCATGGAAGACGGAGAGAAATCTTCCAGTTCTGCAGCTTTCTCTCTTGCGAGCGCCACTACACTTTCAGGGAAGTTGGCGAACTCAGCCACATGTATCCCAAAGCTCTGGTCACATGCCCCTGGTTCAACCTAACCAGACAAAAACAGCTCATCAAAACATCTACTTTCATGTACGCAAGACAATCAAACAGAGACACTTTTGCTAAAGCTGCAAGAGAGAGAATTCAATATTCAGCGCATATAAATCTTCTATTTTTTGGGAAGGGGCAGATGCAATTTCATTAAACCAACCTTGTAAAGCATGGTGAGTTTGCGGCTTTCGGTGTCAATGTGTGCGCTGACATGGAAGTTTGCCACACCAACGGTGTTACCTGCGACCTCAGAGTTCGCTTGAGCCAAGGCAGTAAGTTCGTGGAAGTGAGTAGCAAACAGAGTAGGTGCTTTCTTCACTTGAACCAGATGCTCACATATAGCCCATGCGAGACCTAATGCAGACGTCACCAAGATAGTGTTATCAACATAAAGATTGCAGATTAACTTCAAACCTCAAATAATAGAAGAGAAATTGCAGTTAAACTAACCAAAACCATCATAGGTTGATGTTCCACGACCTAGTTCATCGATTATTATCAGTGACTTATCGCTAGCTCCTTTGATTATTGAAGCGGTTTCAAGCATTTCTTGCATAAAAGTAGACACTCCGCGTAGCTAAAACAAGAAAGGACAAAAATGCTTGGAATCAGAGTTCTACAGAAACCAGCAGGTCACTTTACAAAGAAGCAGAAAGTTAAACTCACTTGGCAATCGCCTGCTCCTACACGGGCGAAGATACAGTCTCTGATGGAAATTGAAGCTTTGTCACAAGGAACAAAGCAACCAACTTGAGCCATCAGTACAGTCACACCAACCTGAAATTTACAATGTCAGGAAACAGCTTTTAATCATATGCCTATGAAACAAAATCAAACTATAAAAAAATCATCATACCTGGCGAATGAAAGTGGACTTCCCTCCCATGTTAGGCCCTGTTATTATTTGAAACCAACTCTTTCCTCTCATCTGATTTTACAGAACAATAAAGCAGAAACAAGAAATTGCTCCAAGTCAATAGTGAAACAAAGAAAAACTAAGCCTTTTTATATTAGCATATTGAGAATGCTTACAAGTCTACAATCATTTGGTATAAAATTCACCCAGTCTTGAGCTTCCACGCATGGATGTCTGCTCCCTTCTAATACAATGTCTCCAACATCCTGCAATTTATAAGACATTCTCTCAGCATAATGACATAAAACTGTCGAAATAATATTTTGAAACTAACAATCAACTTGAGATGGTACTAACCGAAGATGTGACTTCTGGCCTACAGTAAGGAGTAGGGCAACTGGCAGCCAAATCAGCAAAGCTTAACAAAACATCCATTTCAGAGAGCAACCCTGCTAACTCCTCAAACACCTAAACCATACAATATACATATAAATTCCATTTATTGTTTACTATGATCTAAGATACTTGATATGAATATACATATGTATTGTAACGGTCCATTACTTAAGATGAGGAGCTAAACATACCTCGGAGAAGCTGGCAACAGTCTGAACAACACGATCAACGAGCTCCTTTTGACAGCTTCTGTAATCCTCCACAACACTTTGGTACTGGTCCCCAAGTTTCTTAAGCTTTGTGTTTGTGAACTTCACTCCGTCTTTGCGAGTCTCCAGCACCAAAAACTGTGTGGTCAGCTTCTTCCTGATCTTTGGCTCTTCCTTCTTCGTGATCCTGAACACATGCCCGAATTGCGCTGTCTTGTCAAGTTTCAAAGCCTTGTCGACCGGAAGATCGAGTTCCGTAGCCGTCTTTTTGTGCACTTCTTGAATCTGCTGCTCCAGCAACTCTTTCTGATCTTTCAGAGATGACAACGTGGTGTCGTAGCTTGCAGATATCATGTACTCTCCATTTTCTAGCTGGTCAAGGTCTACAGAGTACTCCACCAGCTCAATGAACTTGCTGAGGTGGTTTTCGTCTGTTAAAGACTCAAGCTTTTTCAAGTACCTCTCGCTGATGAGCGATGAGAACTCTCCAGTGTACTGTTGCAGAGCTGTCTTGATGAAGGGAAGCCTTATAGTTGACTACACAGAGAAGATGAAGACTCTCAAAAACTTAAGAACATAACTATACTTTCATTTACATTAACATCCAGAGAATCAGATATAGGTACCTGATAGAGTTTGATAATGTGCTGTAACCCGCCTCTTCTTCTCTCAAGACTCCGCACAAGCCTCTCAATATCTGAGATACGCTTCAGGTGCTGTCTAAGGTCTTGCCTTAACCCAGCTTCTTCAACAAAGCACTGAACTAAATCTAATCTCGTCTTGATCTCATTCAAATCCACTAGAGGCTGCTTTAGCCACAGATGAAGCAGTCTCTTGCCCATCCCTGCAGTGCATGTTCTGTTCATAAGACCAAACAAGCTGAAATTCTTATTAGCATCAGTTTTGCTCTCCATCACATTCAACGCCCTCATAGCTGCAGAGTCGAGTCTCATGAACCCGCCGATATCATATCTCCGGATTGTGAAGCTCCCATAGTTACCTTCGTCCGAGAGAAGCTCAGAGAAGGAGAGCAATGCACCTAGTGCAGGAGTCGCAAGCTCAAACCCTGATATCAAATCTTTAACAGGTTCGATATTACCCTTCACCAGTCTCTTCAAATCCGAATCTAAATCTCTCCCTTTGAACTCTTGCCTCTTCCTCTCTGTTGTCATCACAGCACACCTCTCCAGAGACGCACACAGGCTTTTGTACTCAACGGATTTTCCAGACTCAGCTGGAAAAATGCATTCTTTTGCACCTAAAGCAACGAGACAAGACTCCAGATTGGTGAAGCGGCTGTCATCAAGAAACTCAGCTAGTCCAAGAACTCGCCTTGTGAGGTCAACATAGGCCATCCCAACAAGGCATTTACTCTCCTGGAAACTTGGAAACAAGGAGACAACAACCGGCGTGTCCTGCATTTCGTTGTTTGCAAACAGAACGTCTTCGAAGCTCCCAATGTTTCCAGGAGAACCTGTCTTCACAAGCCTCCAATTCGACCCGCTTCCTTCGTAGAGCTCTACGGTATGGTCATTCCTCTCAAGGAGAAGATCACGAGCGATCGTTTCGAACATGTTCTTGCTGATGCTCACGCTTGAAAGAGCGTTTGTTCCACTCCCTATCTGGCGTAGCGCTGTAGTTGTGTGGTAATAAGTCTTTGCAATGAAAACTGAATTTTCGCCATGAGCTGTGTAATAGTCCTGCAGACAAATTGCATTTGATATTCTCTCTTAAATCAAAGACAAAAGAAGATTACCAGTAGAATAGATTAAAAAGTTGGAAACTTTAGAGCTCTCACCTTCCGATCAAAGAATCTAACAGCTCTCGAGTCCTAAAGCAAAGAACAATCAACACCCACAAAAGCAATTAGGGGCTGAGTTATAAAGTTATAATCTCCCTAGAAATAGAAAGAAACGAGACTTACATTTGGTAGGGTTTTGAAGAAGGAGAGAAACCCTTGAGCCTGCTTAGCATCTTCCAAACCAAAAATGACCAATATTAGACATTTTGCAAAACCCATAAACCCAAATGAAGAATCTAATACGAGGAAAGGAAAAAAGCTAGGGTTTTGCAATTACCCAATTTAAGCTCCGGAAGTTTGTTCTGCTCCTCGGAATTACCCTCCATCGGCAAATTGAGAAAGCGAAAATCTTTCGTCTGCGTTCTGCGACTACAGAGCAAAATATCGTTTTTTTCTGTGTTTTCCAAAGCAACTGGGAATAGAAAGCGACTGGAATTTTTCGAGGCAGATTATAGGGGTCGAATTTGGCGGGAAAAGCGATTGGCGGCAAGTTTTCCTCACCGGCGGCGCGTGACTCAACGTTCTGTGAGCCACGCGTGTCTGTCTCGGTGTTGGTCCATCAAAGATAAAGGCCCATTAATCTCATACTGGGCCTCCTGGGCTAGCAAACATCTGTCTATAATTAGTAATCTACCTACGAGAGAATCCACAATTTTTAGTAAAATGTCACTAAAGAGACGAAAACAAACACTTAATTTCTACGTTGAAACATGATTAAAGATAAAATTGTTTGAATAGCGATAGATATTTCACATGTCACTATCCAGATATTTTAATCTCTGTGATTAGTACATAGTTATTATGGTAAACTATGGACAAAGGGAAGTGGAAGGTTTGTACTAGAAAGCACTATAAATGCCTATAGAGTACGATGATGGCCTTTGATAGCCACAAAAGTCATATGAACTTATCTTTATGTCATTTATGGTTCCAAATAGTCAGATATATT